GGTGCTATCAAAATAGCAGGTTGGATTGTATTTTTTCATTGCCTGTCGTTTTTAGGCTTTCAAAAAAGATACTTAATTTATGGTTTTAGCTTTCATGTATTTGTTATCTTCTGCTGCCAGCTACCCTGATAAATGTGGTTAGTGGGTGGCACACAGCTATTATAAGATGAATGTGAAATAATAAAACCCAAAAAGATATACTTTTCAAAAGATAAAATACATTTTAAAAAGTATTCTAATTTAAAAAATAAACACACATTAGAGAACTGACAGATAAAAGCCATAGAAATATAAGTTTAAAACAATAAAAGTGGTCTCTATAGTACTGCTAAATGTCAAGTTGAAAGCTATAAGAGCCAAAAAGAGAGGAAAAATTTGGGGAGGGAATTCCAAATCTGGGAAAGCAGTGTTGCACCCCAGGCCTGGAAATGCCTATGACCACAGCACCACACAAGAGTCCATAGTATAAGCAAACTATTTATTTTAAAAACACATAAAATATATGAAAAATCAGGAATAAAGAAAGAAGGCGTATAATCCAAAAAAAGGTTAGCAATAGATGATAACCAAACAGTAATCCAAATGTCTCATGCAAATCCCAAGGTAACACAGTCTAGGAATTGCCAAATAGTCACAAGTATAGCATAATTCCACAAGCAAAAGGTATACTTAAAAAAGCTTGAGCAAAAATACGAAAACAAGAACATTGAAAACTTCCAAGATGCTTGAATCCAAAACCAAGGCTTGACTTGAAACAAGAACCAGAGAATTCAGGCCTAGCCTCACACTCAAACACTATGTTGCCTGAACTAACCCTTAAGTAAGCAACTTGCTAATTAATAGACACTAATGAAATAATTTATTTTCCCATGAATTTTCTCCCCAGCTTTCCCACGTAATTGCTCTGTCTGGTACCGCCTATTTTCTGCTCCAATCTGTAAATGAAGACTTTTGTTGATCTCTGTAGTTCCAGGTGTTTTTCCCTGGGAGCCTTCAATATCACTTAGTTCTTCACCCGACTCCTTATCTAATGTTGCAATTTCTGGCTCCTCTGACTGACCTTGAAGCCCTGCACTTTCTGAGTCAGGTTTCTCCCAGAGGGAACCATCATTTCCCTGACTTGAATCTTCCTCACTTTGTGCCCCAGGAAATCCCACAGGAAATCATACAATTCTCTCTAAACCATCAGTGAACCCAGCAGCCTCAGACTGTATTACAAGCCCGACAAAAAGTCACTCTCTTGTGATTGTATGGAGACTTTGAGGCACCTGTTGGGTATGGCTTTGAAACTCAGACTGAAGGACATCTGTAAATGAACATTAAACCAACTTGTATTAACGGAAGCTATTAAAATTAATATCGCCTCCATAAACACTTTCATAAACATCTCCACTCACCCAGAAAAGATGGATGTGTTAGTTATTAATCATGCATCCACAGGGCATGATCTTTTCAGGAAAAATGGAGCTGGTGGAGGCTTGACATCTTTTTTTCTCTTCTTCTCAAACCGCTCCTCCAGAGACAGAAGTACACAGAGGGTTGTTTTGCATAGATGAACATTATTTTTTAAAAATGCAACTAGACCTGGGTCTGCTTTTTATTTTGCAAGAAAGGCAAATCAAACTGAATAATAATGAGCTGCAACATTAATTAGAATGGCCCTAGGGACACCCCCATCAAAACACAGAAATGGGCTTGAATAAAAGACATGCGTCTTCAGATGAGCTTTTGCCTTGATGAATGAGCACAGCAGGGATACTTTCTCAAAGGCGGACGGCCTGCAACTCCCTTTTCCATGGTTTCTGATGAAGGCGAGTCTTCATTCCTTCTCTCCTATGGGGTGGGAAAGGGCTATGGTGGGGCGTGCTATGTCTGAGGAATACCTAATGGCTTATGAGAATTAATCATGGGTGGGAGAGAAGTCATCTGCTAACCTTGGCCGTGTCTGTTCCCTCTCCCCCCACCCACCACCACTTCTACAGGTTTTGTCTTTCTTCTCTCTCCTTTGCTTCACCACCCACTAGAGAATGAGATTGATGCCATTAGTCTGTTTCCACATGTCATTTATCTCATAAACTCATTCACAATCTGTTCTTGATCCACTTTCCCTTTTTTTAAAAAAATCATCTGGAAAATTCCATTGAAAAAGCGTTTTAATGTATTTTTTCCACAAAACACACGTTTTAAAATTTCTATTTTACAATGCATACATTTTGATGCATATATTTTTGCTGAGAAATAGGTCACTAAATTAAAAGAAGTGGGAATTTTGAAGGCTCGTTGGATTTCATGTATCCTCCAGATAGACAGGGCAAATATTTTGCAACATTTTTAGTTTTTGGAGAGGAGGAATTACAATATCCAAATCCTATTATTCCATACTATTTTCAGATCATTCCTGGTACCATCTTGGCAATAGAATTACCTTAACAAACCATGTTCCCATTTAAAAAGAATTATTGGGAAACATCTCAATACAGTGTTTCCTCGCTTATTGTGGGTGTTCAGTTCCAGGACCACCCATGATAAGTGAAAATCCGTGACGTAAGGACACTTCGTCCACTTGGCGGCAACCTTCTCCTCCCCGCCACCTCTACTGCTTGTGGCCTCGGAGGCCCCTTGGGCYCCATTGATGGTGCTATCAAGCTGGGCTGAGGCCTCCAATGAAGGAGCGGGAAGCAACTGATACAGCGAGGAGGAGGAGGCCACCACCGCCGATGAGCCCAGAGATGAGCCCCAGGGTAAGCCCCAGCATCTGGCTGCCCCTCCCCTCCTTCTCTTCCTCCTCTTTCCTCCTACCCCCCCCCCATACTTGTCAGGACTGGTCTAAAATGAGGGAGAGATAATCCCCTGAAGTTTTCCCAGTGCCATTTGCTGTTTTTTGCATATTGAGCAATCGCATCTGRCYTTAATGAAGCGATTCGGAAATTTTGGAAATTTTGGAAAGTTCCAAAAAAAATCGAAAAAATTCGGAATTCAATTCTGAATTGAATCACCAGTGCCCCCAACATCCAAAACGAGCTTTGAACCATTTTTTTAAATCAACCAAGCCTAGTATTCACCATCCAAAAGCATATAATAGGGGGAGTCTGCTTATGAAACTGTGAATGGAATACGGACATTATATCATGGTCAAAACACTACAATCTCTTGAGCAAGGGAACTTGGGTGTACATAAAACACCAACCAAATGTCATCTAGTGTTTACTATCTGTGAACAGGCAGGGAAAAAGTGAGATTGGTTGGCTCTGCCTGGCAGAGTGACAGTGCCAAGGCCTGCCTCCAGTTGTGGGTGCTCTCCTGCCCTCGCTATGTAATACCTGCTCTGATCTCTCAGTACACAGACTCTCTGAGCGTGGAGCCTCGGCTGAGCTAAGAGGATTACCGAACTACTATGCCATGTCAAAATGACAGATTTTGCACAAAGTGGCAGGAAAGAGACTCACTGGTTGTTCATCCTCAGCCACCAGGCAGAGCAAGTATTAACCTTGTTTCTACCCACTATGGCCCAGATTTTTACACATCCTGTGCTATATCATGTCAGCTTTATGTACCTGTGTCACTGACTGATACACAACCAGGAGGTGTTTCCAGTGGTGCGTGTTGGCCCACAAAAGCATCCATCTTCCCCAGTAATCATGTCTTAATAACCAGGGAAAGGAAATGCAAACCTCCCCAGTGTGTATTGGGGGTGTATGTAAGTGTGTGGGTGCGCATATGGGCAGTCCTCTGTGATCCAGCTAACACCTTTAAATCTAAAAATACTTTGCATCCCTGTTTTAAATGGAAATGTCAAGGATTTGGACCTAGAGACTTCTGTGTATACAAAACATGTGCTCTGACAATTACAGAGTCTTCCCACTACATAAGTGTAGCACCACGATTCCACTTTAACTGCCACAGAGCATCCTAGGATTTGTAGTTTCACAAGATATTTACAGGAGTGTAGCAACAGTTGGAAAAGATAGCATGTTGTAGCGGTTTCAGTGCTGGACCCAAGCTCTGGGAGACCAGGGCTCAAATCCCCTGCTTGGTCATGAAAACCCACTGGAAGACCTTAGGCAAGTCACAATCTCTCAGCCTCAGAGGAAAGCAATGGTAAACCTCTACTGAACAAATCTTGTCCGGAAACTGATAGGTTTCACCTTAGGGTTACCATAAATCAGAAGTGACTTGAAGGCACACAACCACCACCACCACAACAACAACAAGGTATGGGTAGGGGAAGTAAGGGTATTGCTCCTCCATGAAATTTTTCTTCAGTACCCAAATTTCTAGCAATCTAATTACTTGAAACTTCAGCTGACAATTTCAAAATAAAGTTTTGGTGCCAAAGATAAAATGAAAGAGGTACAGTTACCAAGGGAATGCTAAAACAGAAAATATATGTTTGTATGGGTAGGGATATTAGGGTGTGACTTCTAGTTGACTATTACTTATGAAGACACCATGGATTTCATAGGGTTTTCTTTGTGCAACAAATGCACAAAGGTGGCTTTGCCATTTCCTTCCTCTGAAATATAGACTACAGCACCTGTTATTCGTCAGTGGTCTCCCACCCAAGTACTAATCCAAGTGCTGTGCATGCTTTTCAGTTTTACTTTCTGCAATGCTAGAAAATTGCAGTCAAGAAAAAATCAAGAGTAATGTCCACATTTTGTGATCCCTCCACAACCCACTGTGCTCTTCAGTAATTTGAAGTCGGACAGCTGCAATACCTCACCAAATTACAAATGCCAGGATTCCTGAAAATGTGATTGTGGCAGTTAAAATAAAAGCAAAATGCTATAAGTATGCCGTGTGAAAGAGATCTAAATTATGCCACCTCACCTATTGCTTGACACACATCAGGGCATAAACAAGAAGATCCTCAGACTGAGTCAAAGAGCACGACCCTGTTTTGCACACTAATTCAGTCTAGCTTTGTGCTACTTCTGCTGTGACCCTTTTAACTATCTGATCACTTCTCCCTTTGTTTATTGACTTTCCTGTGAATATAGCAGGACATCCCCACTCGAGTGAATGCTTCATCCACTGCTGCCCCTGTGGCCCAGCAAGAGGCTGTCCATAGCAAGATGGAGGAACTGGAGGAGCAGCTTCTAACGAAGCTTTTGGCTTTGGAGAAAGAACGCTCATCCATCGTCAACAACCATGACCAGGAGCAGCAGCAGCAGCACGAAGTGGAGAAGGAGCTGGATGCCCTTCAGAACCGGGTTTCTGAGCTGGAGCATGGTGAGTCCTGGTAGGGAGGACACAAATGCTGTGGGTTCAAAAGTTTTTGATAACTTGCATGCATCTAATTGTTTAGTAGCTGTATATCTTCAGACGCTTCCAAGCTGAAGAGTTTATGATTGCCAGATAAGTGACATATTGTTTCAAAATTCAGGGCAAGAAAGAGCATAAAGGATCCTCAAGCTAGCTATTTTAATTAATAAACAGGAAAAATGAAAGTGAGTAACAATGAAAGTTGCTAACAACTAACAATTAATGTTTTTGTTACTTTAGTTCAGTGGTTCTCTGCCTTCCTAATGCCACGACCCCTTAACCATAAAGGGGTGACCCCCAACCATAAAATTATTTTTGTTGTTCTTTCATAACTGTAATTTTGCTACTTCCATGACCAGCGGAAAATACTGGAAGGCTTTGGTGGGCATTGCCCTTGAGTTTGGAAATTATAGCTCACCTACATTCAGAGAGCACTGTGTATTCAAACAATGGTGGATCTGAACCAAACTTGGCACAAATACTCAATATGCCCAAATGTGAACACTAGTGGAATTTGGGGAAAACAGACCTTGACATTTTGGAGTTGTTGTTGCTGGGATTTATATTTTACCTACAATCAAGGAGCATTCTGAATCCCACCAATTATAGAATTGGGCCAAACTTCCCACATAGAGCCCCCATGACCAACAGAAAATACTGTGTTTTTGATGGTCTTTGGTGACCCCTCTGACACCCCCCTCGTGACCTCTCCAAGGGGTCCCAACCCCCAGGTTGAGAAAAGCTACTTTAATTAGTTACATTTTTAGTCGCGGTAATGCATCTGGAATTCCAGAGCTGGAAACATTCTAAAATCTGAATGGCAACTTTGCTTTCTGACAGTTCAATGTACATGAACTTTATAGCATGCACAAAAATATTAGAAATATTATGTATAAAATTATATTCAGTCTATGTGTATAACTCTCCACTGCACTCCATTTACAGCTTTCCTCATCCTATTTCTGTTTTATCCACGACAGAAACGCCAACCAGCTTCAACCCTCCTGGAGCTTTCAAAATCTCTATTCCTGTCCGAAACAACTATATGTACGGCCGGATAAAGAAGAGCTTGCCTGAACTGTATGCCTTCACAGTCTGCCTGTGGCTAAAAGCCAAAGGCCCAGGAGCGGTGGGCACCCCTTTCTCCTATTCAGTACCTGGACAATCGAATGAACTTGTATTGCTGGTGTGGGGACATAACCCCATGGAGCTGATCATTAATGATAAGGTAAGGGAGAAGACCTTTTGGCATGGGGTAATGGGAAGACTCAAACACTAGCCTTCCTTATATTGAGAACAGAAATGGGTAAAGGTGGGGGTTTGGGGGGCACTGTTCCCCAGAATCCTCCAATCAGCTTCTGAACAGTGAGGGGAATTTGACCCTTTTAGGGTTTGAGAATGGAGGAATTAGTGAACTGAAGACAGCAGTTTATTTATATGCCAAGCAGTCTGGAATACATGTTCAGTGTCTACTGCTTAACAGGCACTTAATCCAAGTTTGTATTACATTTGTACAAAATAATGTTAGCAATTTTACAGTGTTGAGCATCAAAAAGCAGTGACAACCATTCATCAATAAATAGCAACCCCTATTTTCAAAATATACGCCTTACACTTTTTCTTTATGTCTCCCAGTAGTGTTTACAAAGTAAACCCAGATTTTAAAAAAACACTAACCAAACGGGATAACAATACACAGGACATTGATATCCCCTTACATCTGCAAACCATGAGCATAAACATCCAAGTTGTCTCTGTATAATACCATCATTGACTGTTGTCAGAAGGAACCCCGGTCCCCAAGCCACTGAAGTCTCAACTAGACTACCTCAATAGTTTCTCTATTAAATAGATCATAGAATCATAGAGCTGGAAGAGAACTCCTGGGCCATCCAGTCCAACCCCCTGCCAAGAAGCAAGAAAATCACATTCAAAGCATCCCCGACAAATGGCCATCCAGCCTCTCTTTCAAAGCCTCCAAAGAAGGAGCCTCCACCACACTCCAGGGCAGAGAGTTCCACTGCTGAACAGCTCTCACTGTTAGGAAGTTCTTCCTCATATTCAGGTGGAATCTCCTTTCATGTAGTTTGGAGCCATTGTTCCACATCCCAGTCTCTAGGGCAGCAGAAAACAAGTTTGCTCCCTCCTCCCTAATGACTTCCCCTCACACATTTATACATGGCCCTCATCCTGACTCCTCTCAGCCTTCTCTTCTGAAGGCTAAACATGCTCAGCTCTTTAAGCCACTCTTCATAGCCCTTGTTCTTCAGACCCTTGATCATTTTAATAGCCCTTCTCTGGACACATTCCAGCTTGTCAACATCTCCCTTTAATTGTGATGACCAGAACTGGACACAGAATTTTGGTCTGACCAAAGCAGAATAAAAGGATAGCATGACTTCCCTGGATCTAGACACTATACTCCTATTTACGCAGGCCAAAATCCCATTGGCTTTTTTAGTTGCCGCTTATATATATATATATATATATATATATATATATATATATATATATATGCGGCAACTAAAAAAAGCCAATATATATATGGGGCTGCCACAGAGTAGAGGGTGGAGGTTTGTTCTCCATTTCCCCAGAGAGTAGGTTTAAAGTTAACTAAAGGTTTAAATTTACAGAAAGGTAGATTTTAACTGAACATTAGAAGGAAATAGTATTATTATTCTTTCATATTATGAATGTATTGGTTGTTGTAGTCAGGCATTGAATGGCTGCCTTTTGTGATTGGAATCTGCCCCGAGTCCCTTTGGAGATATAGGGCAGAATATTAAAAAGTTGTTGTTGTTGTTAAGAGTGGCTCAGCAATAAACCCAATTGCTCAGATAAGCGGTGGAGTTTCCTTCTCTGGATGTCTTCAGAAAGTGGCTGGACAGCTCCCTGCTGGGAATGCTTTAGCTCAGTGGTTCTCAACGTGTGGGTCCCCAGGTGTTTTGGCTTACAACTCCCAGAAATCCTAACATCTGGTAAACCGGCTGGGATTTCTGGGAGTTGTAGGCCAAAACACCTGGGGACCCACAGGTTGAGAACCACTGGAGAAGTTGCATGGAGCTGTTGGGGTTCCCTTCCCCCTCTATGATTTGATTACTCTGAGTCAACTGTAAATGACCAGAGAAGGTCAAAAGCTTTGAAAAATACTCCTATACCACCTAGGAGTATTGAGGGTATTTGAGGGAAAACACGTTTTGATTTTTTTTTTCTGGGGGTCCTCCTGGAAAGTAATGCTAGCCCCTGCTTTCTAAGCTTCCTCCAATATAAAGCAGGATCAGTGCAGTCCATAACAAAATAAGATTGAACACACACATACAATGCATTCTTATCCATTATAAATAATTAAAATGAGGACAATTCCACATCTAACATTATTGTTAAAACAATTAATAATTCAATTACTAGCGAAACAAGGACAACAAAGTGAAGCACCCCCAGGCCTTGTTTGTTAGCAGCAGGAAGAGAATGGAATTTAAGAGAGCTTCAAAAGGAGGCAAAGCCAGTGAGCAATCTCTCTCTTTTCTTCCTTTCGTCACTCTGTGACTTTCTAATCTTGAAAATAGTCAAACAGAAAGTTGCTTTTTAGATAGCAGTTCTCATAATCCCTAGGCAGCATGGCTAGAAGGATGGTAGTGTTAGCAACAGGCAGCAGGGGAAAACTGTTGAAAAACATGTGTTGTTGAAGACTTCATGACCGGAATCACTGGGTTGCTGTGAGTTTTCCAGACTGTAGGCCATGTTCCAGAAGCATTCTCTCCTAACATTTCGCCCACATCTATGGCAGGCATTCTCACAACCTCTGGGGATACCTTCCATAGATGTGGTCGAAACATCAGGAGAGGATGCTGCTGGAACATGACCATACATCCCGGAAAACTCACAGCAACCCTGTTGAAAAATAAATTTGCCCTCTGAACTAACCCTAAGGCATAACCCCGTTTTGTTCCAAAGGTGGCTCTTCTGCCTATGACTCTAAAGGATGGAACATGGCACCACATCTGTATTAACTGGATCACGCGGGATGGCATATGGTCAGCCTATCAGGATGGTGAGGAGCGTGGCGCCAGTGAGAACTTGGCATCTTGGCATCCAGTCAAACCGCACGGAGTGCTAATCTTGGGCCAGGAACAGGTGAGTCTGATTCCTGTATTATCTTGGAATTGGTTACCCAAATATCTTATCAGGAATTTGCCTTAAGGATCCCAGGAACAAAAATTGAGAGCAAGAGTGAAATAAAATAGTATTTTAATAGTTATGTTTTTGTTTTTAAAGTGAATATTTACACATCTGTAGTTTTGAAAAGAGATAGCTATGAGAACTTTCCTAAACAACTTGTTTTGTGTTTTAAAAGTACCTTGGATAGATCTTTTAAAGTTCAGACTTGGGTCTGGAATGGATTTATTAACAGGGAATTAAACTTGTCCTCACCAGCAATTTATGGAGAGAGGCTAACTGCCTCTGATACTGGAGAGATGACAGTGTGCTAGAGAAACCAACATTTGATTTTCTTTAAGGCAGCTTCATATGTGATTCATAAAAAACATGCATCTGTTGTGTATTCCCTATTGATTTGGCACCACAGACTGAAGCATTTAATCCATGATGCCTAGAGCATTATTGTGAATATTGTTTTTCTAGAAATGCTTCCACAGATAACCGTTTCCCGTAGCTAAAAAAGAAAAAAGTGGCTGAATATACCATATATACTCGAGTATAAGCCAAGTTTTTCAAACCTTTTTTTTAGGCTGAAAAAGCCCCCCTCGGCTTATCCTCAAGTCAAAGTTATTTATTATTTTACTCTATTATTATTATTATTATTATTATTATTATTATTATTATTACATTTCCATTATTTTACTCTATTATTTTTATTATATTTATTATTTTACTCTATTATTACTGTTAGAATTACATTTCCATTATTTTACTATATTAGTATTATTTTAGTACATTTATTATTTTACTCTATTATTATTGGAGGGATGGATGTGTAAGCACATTTACATTGAAGAAGGTTAGAATAATGGTTTAATCAGAGTTGGACAGTCTTATCTTAAATTACAGTTTTATGTAAATATTCAAAAACATTTAACCTACTGATACCTCAATTAATGTAATTTTATTCGTATCTATTTTTATTTTGAAATTTACCAGTAGCTTCTGCATTTCTCACCCTCGACTTACACTCGAGTCAATACATTTTCCCAGTTTTTTGTGGTAAGAGACTTATGTTTGAATCGGCTTATACTCGAGTATATACGGTAATCCCAAATGGTGGCCAGAAGTGATGTAGCACTTAATTATTTCTCTATCTTTCTCTCTGTAGTCTCTATTCACTATGCACTTGTCAATCCTGCTATAGAACAAGATAATGATTATTTTTGCTTACTTTGTTGTTTCACGTTCTCTTTTCCTCTCTTCTTTTTCTCTCATTTTTCTTTCACTGATTTTCCCATTCATTGATTCTTTGGCCATTGCCTGTTTTCACTACCTGCCGCCATCACTTTTTTCTTCAATGTAATGCTGCAGGATACATTGGGTGGAAGATTTGATGCCACTCAGGCCTTCGTTGGTGAAATTTCCCAGTTCAACCTTTGGGATCGTGTTCTGACGCCAGCAGAGATTGTGGGTCTGGCCAACTGCACCAACCACCTTCAAGGCAACATCATCCAATGGGACGAAAAAACGGTGGAGGTCCACGGTGGGGCAACCAAACAACGCTTCGAGATCTGCGAAGAGAAGATGAAGGCATGAGTGGTCCTGCCCAAGGCAAAGCATATGAAAGCTATTCTTCAGACTGTTTAAGGAATGAGTCAGCAAGGGGTCCCTTTCCCCCCTAAACACACACAATGTTGACATCTGAATTGGTCTAAGGAGGGACTCTGTGTGTGGATGTGTGCATGTATGCAAGGGATAAGGAAACCTCCTGAAGTTCAAAGAAATTGTGACACTGTGTGTTTTTTCATTGTTTCAGTAAACTTCTTTCTGATTCATAATGTGTGTGCCTAAGCCTTCCAACAAGAGGGCTAAGGAGTTTAGAGGGTGATGATAGCCATATCCAAATGGTATGATAACTGCCAAGAACTAATTGCGGGCGAACTGTGGATTGAATGGGTATCACCAACACTTCTCTCTCTTCTCATCTGGCTGATTCCTTCAGTGATGTGTTATGAACACTGAGTAGGATTTGTTGAGGCTTTAAAACCATTCATAGTGGTGCTGTTTGCCCCTGAGAAGCCATCGGTAATCTAGGAATACACAAGCCAAAATTCCACTAGTCTCTGCATGCATCCATCAATGATATCTCACTGATTTAACTGCCTTGTAGCCCAGCTATGGGCAAACTTGGGCCGTCCAGGTGTTTTGGACTTCAACTCCCACCATTCCTAACAGCCTCAGGCCCCTTCCTTTTCCCCCTCAGCCATTGTTAGGAATGGTGGGAGTTGAAGTCCAAAACACCTGGAGGGCCCAAGTTTGCCCATGGCTGTTCTAACCCCTGTCCAGTGACCCTCACTGTTATGATATCATTTGCCTGCGGTCAACAACAACACCTTCTTTCCACAAAGGCCTTTTTATAATGTCCAGCATCCCCTCCTAGATGTAATTTCACACAAACACACACCCCAAAATCGAATTTCTGTGTGATCTCACTAGCATGTTCAATTTCAAGGGGCATATGTGAGTATAAATTTCTTTGTCAACTTTTATTTTAAAATAATTCTTTTAAATCAATATAAGAGCTTCTGGGAATTTAAATGGGATGACCACAGAATCCTAACTTTATTTATTTATTTATTTATTTATATGCTGCTTTTCTCCCATGGGTGGGACTCATTCCTTCTCAAACCATAGTATTTATTTGTTTGTTTGTTTGTTTGTTTGTTTGTTTGTTTACAACATTTATATTCCACCCTTCTCACCCTGAAGGAGACTCAGGGCGGATCTTAGAACACATACACAGCAAACGTTCAATGCCATTAAATAGATAGGACAGGCAACAGATAGAGGTATATGTCAGAATTTTTCCCAGCTTTGCCATCCTGGAGGTTGTCCTCAATTCTGGCTACACGGGGGTGCTGTCGCTCCATCCTCTATGATCATAGACCTTCTCCTTCCCTTGACTGCTGGCATTTTCTGGTATTTTCTTTTTATGGTGCCGTAAAATACCTCCCCGCTTAAGCGGTGCCTAATTTCTCTACTCACAGCTCATAGCTGTTTTCAAACTGTTTAGGTGGACAGTGAGCTGGGCTGAAGGTCGAGTGCTTACCCTGACCCGGGCTTCAAACTGCCAACCTTTCAATTAGTGTGATATATTGCTGCTGGTGATTAACCAGCTGTTCTAAAGCCCGGTCCATTCCTTCCATTTCTCCAAAGGGCTGATTCACATGTTGTTTTACTTTGTGCTTTGCTTTTCTATCATGTAGTGGAAAGGATTTTTTTCTATTTTACCAAACTCTTTCTTTCACACCTGCACACAATTGCAGGCAATTGCACAATTGGCGTAATTGGGAAATAAGTCACCCTTACACCTGCTGAATGTCTTTTTTTGGGGGGGGGGGCATTACAGAGGTTACCATTCTCTTTTTCCCTTCGCAACAACCAAAGCCTCCAAGACCTACTGTTGAATAAATAGCAGGAGTGGAATCAAAGAAGCGTCTGGCAATGTCCTTGTATCCTGATATCAAATGATTGCATCATGAGACCTTTGGGTGGCTTCATCTGATGATGTAATCGTTTCATGTCTGACTACAGGAACATAACCAGATGCTTCTCTGATCCTATCCCCAGCCATAAGTCACAGCATAGCTAGTGGATGCACTGCAGTGGCTCTGCAGCAGTGGTTCTCAACCTGTGGGTCCCCAAGTGTTTTGGCCTACAACTCCCAGAAACCCCAGACAGTTTACAAGCTGTTAGGATTTCTGGGAATTGAAGACCAAAACATCTGGAGACCAACAGGCTGAGAACCACTGATCTACAGTGTTAATGGCTAGCTATAGTTACTATGATGTTCTGGATTCCAGCCATTCAGTGGCACAGCTGGTCCATCAGCAGCAGGATGAATATTCTCACCCCATAGACTATGGACTGCCCATGTCAACCCTAGAATTGAGCTCTTGTGGAAACTATTCCCATTTGTGCTCTAGTATCTCTTTCACCACTGAACATTTTCTTCTCGATGTCCAGGAAAAAGTCATTTCGAACATTACACAAACTGTGTTGTGAATGCACACCTATGGATGATTGAAATGGCTCAAACGTGAAAAGGAAATGCCATGCGTGAGTCAGCCCTTGCAGAGCATACTCCGGCAGAGAATGATGCCTTTCCTGTGCAGTAATCTATCTGTGCTCCTGTCCTTGTTTTGGTCCCTGCTGTCTTTCGTTCTCATTGTGCCACTTTAGGGGGGGGTTGTGGTACTCATAGGGTCACAACAGCTAACAAAAGAGTTCTCAGCACCCTTGTAGAAAAGGAGGATAAAAAGAGATGAAGAGAGCGCAGCTTAGCTGCTGAGCTTGGTCAGGGACGGTGAAGTTTGTATGCCTTTTGAGTGCCTGATATCACAATGGTTTTGCAACCTGTGAATCCACTGATAGTCACACATTTGAGAGTTATATGTGTTTTTTTCTTTGCGATTCTTGCAATTGCTTGCGTTGTATATACCTGCCCTATATGTTCCATTTGCGATGAACAGTGATACAAATGCTGATTATGTCACCACCACCCCTTCCCTTCAGTTTTTCTCTGAATATATGGGGTGAGGGAAGGCAGAGCAGACAAAGTGATTTCAGATCATATTGATGACTATTCTGGGCTCCTCTTTTAAGGATCGTTTAAATCTGGCATGGTGATCCACCAAGTGCTACGACATTGCAACAAGTATCACCTCTAGCCAACATTGCCAGTGGTGCAGGATGATGGGAAATGACACCTAATAACATCTGAAGAACCATACATTCTCCATCCCAGGTTTATATGTTGCACTTTTAATGGTTACACATTACACATGAGGCAAAAGCAAGTAATTGCTTCACAGTGTTTACACCATAGAAGTATATTGTGTGGAACTACAATTGGTTCTATTTTCCCGTGAGATATATATATATATATATATATATATATATATTCATGTCAGGAGCGACTTGCAAAACTGCAAGTTGCTTCTGGGATGAGAGAATTGGCCATCTACAAGGACGTGGTTCAGGGGATGACTGGATGTTTGATGTTTTACCATCCTTGTGGGAGGCTTCTCTCATGTCCCTGCATGGGGAGCTGGAGCTGACAGAGGGAGCTCATCCGTGCTCTCCCTGGATTCGAACCGCTGTTGGTCAGCAGTCCTGCCGGCACAAGGGTTTAATCCATTGCATCACTGGGAGCTCTTTTATGTCACCACATATGGAGTATATGTGGTGACATAAGAGAGCTATCTTCAACATGCACTCACTAATGTGTAACATGAAAAGGTGCCCTTTCTCTGAAGCTACTCATTCGGAGGGAGGAGAGTATATGGGACAGATAAAGCTAGGGCATAGGAGACTTGTTTGCCAGACTGCAAGTCCCAAAATCCCATAGTCAGCATAGCCACGGGCCATGAAGGATGACTGATTCTGGGACTTATACTCCCAAGAAGAAATATTTCCAAGCTCTGGGAAAGGAGAAGAGAAGAAATCACATTGTAAAACACTGTGATCAATGCACCAAACTTGATTTGGGGAAATGTACCTTCTCTGTGTTACTTTCTCACTCTCCTCCTCTCTCCTCCCCACCCACCCACCTTTACTCTTTTTGTACAGCTGTTAAACAGATTTGACATGTGTGCACACATGAATGTGTCATATGTATTTTTTTGTATATTTGACGGTTGCAAAATAAACTTGGTGTTTATATTTGATTATCTTGATTGTGTCTGGAAAATTGCATACAAAGTGGGCAGACAACACGGTTCATGGGATACTCCAAGGTTCAGAAAATAACACAGGGATTTGTGGTAAGGTGGAGGAAAACATTTCTATAGTTCTGTTAATCAACAAGACCATTCATAGGGTTTCAAAAGAAAGAGGGAAGGTCATTGCCACCACAGAGTTTCTAATTTAAAGTTCCCAACAAGAAAGACCACAGTAGCGAGGGACAAAGGGTAATGTGAGTGTGAATATAAGCAAGCCTAGTGACATTCATTTAAAATGGAGGATGAAGATTAAAACTGGAAAACAAAAGTTCTTCAGGTTGTGAGGCTAAGATTAATATTGCCCCTTGATACTGATACTGCAAACTCAACCCAGAAGATCTAGCACAAAACACATTCAACACAGTACTCAACAATACAAAGTGGCCATGTGCCAGCATGGTGTAGTGGTTTTATCTTTTAACGCTGACTCTGGAGACCAGGATTCAATTCTAAGATTAGATACAGGAATCAACTGGGTGACCTTGGGTGAGACACATTTTCAGTTCAGAAAACCAATGATAGGGATGTCTTAGGTTGCAGTAAGTAAAAAATTACTTGAAAACATAGAAAAGCAAGAAACGTTCTCTATACTAGACTACAGTCACCTATTCCAGGGCACTCCTTCAAGAGTGGGTCTCCTAAAGCTCTCCAGATGATGTTGGGCTACAGCAAAGCTTCCAATAAAGAATATTGGAAGTTATGGTCCATGTTTAAAGTGCCATTTCAAGCCCTGAATGACTAAAATCCAAGGGTCTGGAGAACAAGTCCCTATGAGGAATGGCTTAAAGACTGGGCATGTTTAGCCTGCAAAAGAGGCTGAGAGGGCTGTCTATAAATATATGAGAAGAATTCATAGGTTGGAAGCAGCAAGCTTGTTTTCTGCTGTCCTGGAGCCTAGGGCGCAGAACAATGACTTCAAACTACAGGAAAGGAGATTCCATCTGAAATGAAAACTTCCTAACTGTGAGAGCTGTTCAGCAGTGGAACTCTGCCCCGGAATGTGGTGGAGGCTCCTTCTTTGGAGGCTTTTAAAAAAAGGCTGGGTGGCTATGGTG